AAGCGAAAGGGTCTTTAGCGATGCTGGATTGATAATGTCCTCAAAAAGGACAAGTATGAAGGCGGATTTATTTGAAGCTTTAATTTTTTTGAAAAGAAACGGCAATTTAGTTGGAGTAGGTGAAATGTTTAATAATAATAATAATAATAATATGTGACAATTTTACTAGAGTTTATTTCACTATATGTACTCGTATTAATTAATTAGAATTTATATTTGCTCCACCACTCCTTACATGTTTGCTTTTGCCAAATTATTTTACTAAATAAAGAATTATTGTGATCGTTCTATAAATGAAAAATAAATTTTTTATTATTTTATTACAATGATAAATTATTAATAAAGCACCTCAAAAATAAATTACAAGTTCAGAACACAACCCTATACATGAAATTTCTATCTAATATGCATGATTATTTGTTTTCAAAATACTCTTGAACTCGTTGTTTCTTCATCGCCGGCTCCTTCTCAACATCTATCCTATCCTTCAATAACCCAAAAATAACTTCTATCACTCGCTTCACATTTTTACACAATTCTTTTTCATCCTCCGAATTCTCTTTTAAAGCAGACTTGGTAAATCGGATATTAAGAGATTTTTACTTGTACAATATATTCCGTCTGAAGCGTAAAGGATGAAATACCAATCCGTAGCTGTTGTAACGATTCCATAGATATAATCGAAGTCATCTCCGAATGCATCATCCGCGATTCTGAGCAAAGCTAATGACCACTTGATATAATATCCCTTCTGTGATGCAAATAAGTTCCTCAAGTGCCTTGATTGTATAATCGACTCGACCAGTATTTTCTTCACCAACAATTTCTAACTGGGGAGCCAAAGTAATCTCTTTTTTTGTTATTCTCTTGACAATATATAGCGAAGACCTGATACTTCATAGGAAATATTTCAAGATATCTTACTCAATTTGTACAAAGTTGTAAGTGTAAAAATGAAATTCAATTGGTTTGGTATATTATCAATTTATTTTTCCAACTCAATTTAATTATAGGGATTAGTAAGAAAACGGCAAACTCATGATGAAAGATACATGTATCAAGCTGAAGAATGACCAAAATATATTCACACCGCATGGCTTCATTGCTATCGGCAAGAATAGTCCCCATATTTCCCAACCTGCGTTTTATTTCCCTTATACATTATTTCAATTCCTCATCATCGTCTTCGAGTGTATATGTTTCTAGAAAGTGGAACATTAAAATTAGTCCATCAACTCACATAATAGTTTGTAAATAATAAACTGAGAAGATAGGACTTACTTGGTGGAAATTGACGGATTGCACCTATCCCATTACCATCAATCCCATACTTTGCTAATACCTCTTTTAAGTCTTTCTGAGTCTTATACGAGGAAAATGAGCGCTTCTTTCTTTTTACACTCCTTAATGAAGTCTGCAAGCCTCGATGCAGGTCCCAGTTTCATTCCATGTTGCTCAAGTTTTTCTTCGGTTAACTTGAGAAAGTCACGCCCATTAACTTTTTCTTCACGAATAACTTTCAAGTCATCAAGCTCCAAGTCCTCTTCTCTCTGTAAAAATTCCATAAGAGCATCTGTTTTATATTTTTTGATTTCGTCTGCTAATGTGAGTGACACATTTCCAGTTTGAAGGCTTCTGACAATCTGACAACGAAAAAAAAATAAAAAAAAATGGTATTACGTACTTACGTAATTACGTTTCGATTATATCCTAGGATAATTCGGATTATCCTAGGATGATTACTCGGATTACCCGTTATCCTAATTTGACAGAATATCCAGATCTTCAAATTTCCCAATGGGTTATCCTAAATTATTCATAGGATAATCCGGTGAAAAGCTCTAACAACAACAAACACATATTTATTAATTATAACACTCCTGTAATAAGTATTTCGCGCACTAGTACAAATACAAGTAGCTAATAATCTCAATACATCCATTGAAATTGAACAGGATAAACCTGTTCGCTCTTTCTATGTTGAGGCACCTCTTATTCCTGATCAACACCTTTAACTGCTACATCAACCTATCTAGAACTATCTATATATATGGGTATATTAAACTATTCTGAGCTACACTACCTACACTACATTTTCTTTTTACCATTTTTCTTTTTTTGGCCCATCCTGCTTCCAGGCTTACCAGCCCAGGGCTTTCTTTCTTTTTTGATTTTAACTTCTCTCAAACCATCTTCTGACTCTTCATATTCTACGTTGCTACATAGGACCCCGAATAATACTAATATAACTCACAAATGATCGGCATGCATTTACTATTAACTCTACGCAACTTTTTTTTCATAGTAACGCTACGCAAATCCAAATCTTAGTTCAAAAAAATTTTTGTTACTAATATAATTCATTTCACATTTTTTCTATTAAAATATTAATAAAATCATGCCAACCTCACCATTTTATATTAAAATAGTGTGTTTCGCACTTTTTTCTATTAAAATATTAATAAAATGGTGCGAAAATCACCATTTATTTGTTAAAATGGTGCGTTTCGCACTTTTTCTATTAAAATATTAATAATATCATGCGAAACTCACCATTTATTTGTTAAAATAGTGCGTTTCGCACTTTTTTATAATAAAATATTAATAAAATGGTGCGAAACTCTCCATTT